TATCAATATGCCATCTTGAATTCAAATTGAATTCAAGTCATTGCAATATTCATCATGAATACTTGCAACACGTCATCAAGAACTTATGCATAAACATATGCATAACATGTCATGTCATCAACATACTTGGTTTGTTGAATCTCGTATTTTGATGATGAAACTACTTGATATATGTTTATGATTTAATCTGCGTTTTGAGTGACGTAGGATGCTTCGATCAGGATGAGACAATTAAAGCTGGAAAATCATGTTGTGTAAGAGGAACATGTCAGAAGATTGGACGTCGGGCCGGTGGATCGGTCGACGTATCGACAGAAGGCTTCGGGCCATGGACTCGGGCATCGGGCCAAAAAGAGCGGGTATTGTGCCAAGGATATCAGAGTTGCGGAGTCAACTGGCCGATTGGGCAATAGGCTGTAGGAGAGGATGATGCGCCGAAGAATCGGACGAAGCGTCGACGGACCAATGACATGCCGGACAACTTGGTTAATTGCTTAGGATTAATTGTCTCGATCGAAGTTTTGTTTTAAGTGTGCAGGATTAACTACGATGGAAGAAAGACATGCAGTAGGAGTTGCGCCGGAGTCAAGACAATGATCACGTTGGGAGTTCGAGAGTTCGACGAAAGTTCGGACAGTCGTCGGAGGTTCTACGGGAACAAATCCGAGAAGTCCATGAGCTTGCCAAAGAAGCTTGTCGGAACTCGCCAAGTGGATCGTCGCAAGTCCAGGAGTTTGCCGGAAGTCCGCAGGAGCATCATCGAGGGTTCATCGGATGATCGACGGAAGTTCGCCGGAAGCTCGCCGGAAGAAGCGATTGACGCACCGGAGCAAGTTGCAGTAAATGTCTTAGGGAATATCGTAGTTAGCACAATGATTAAGTTGGAAATGGGAGGTGATCCCATTAACTTAATCTTGGGGCAATTAGGCCCCTGAAAAACCCAAATTGGGCCGAATGGATCAACCCATTCGGACCTTGATTTCTACTGGGAGGTGCAACCGCCCCAGCCAGGAGGTGGCACCGCCTGGGCTAAGTCTCCGAGCGAGACTGGGCGGTGCAACTGCCCCCAGCCAGGAGGTGGCACTGCCCCAGCCAGGAGGTGGCACTGCTTGGGCTCAGTCTCCGAGCGAGACTAGGCGGTGCAACCTCCCCTGACAGGAGGTGGCACCGCTTGAGCGCAGTCTTCGAGCTCTGGCAGGAGGTGCGACCGCCTCAGTCAGGCGGTGGCACCGCTTGTGCTCGGTCTTCGAGCTCTGGCAGGAGGTGCAACCGCCTCAGTCAGGCGGTGGCACCGCCTGAGCTCGGTCTTCGAGCTCTGGCAGGAGGTGCAACCGCCCCTGACAGGAGGTAGTACCGCCCAGAGGCTCAGTCTTCGAGCTCTGCCAAGCGGTGCAACCGCTCCAGTCAGGAGGTGCAACCGCTTGATCCCGGAATTCCGGGAATTGACAGTTTTGAGCTCCAAATTTGAACTGGGTTGGGGCCTATAAATACCCCACCCATTCAGCACTGAAAGCACACAACTTACACCGAAATCTTGATCTTGTTCTGTGATTTTTAGAGCTCAAAATTGTTGTAAAGGCCAAAAGTTCTTCTCCCTCTTTTCTTCCAAGTTCTGAGCTTTAAAGAGAGGAGAGAAAATTCTGTAGGGGTTGTCTCCTAAGCCCGTCAAAAGGAGTGAAACTGTAAAAGGGTGGTTGGCCTTCGCCTATTGAAGGAAGGCCTCTAGTTGACGTCGGTGACCTCGTCGGTGGAGGAAGCCAAAAGTGGAGTAGGTCAAGATTGACCGAACCACTCTAAATCTCGGTTTACATTTACTTTGAGCATATTATCTTTACTGCAAACCTCCTCTAAAGCTTACTGCTTTCTGCGCATATACGATCGGGTTTCAAGCTTTGCACTTTCCGAATCAGCGTTTAGACGTAAATATGTTTTTTCGTACGATCATCATATTTCAGTTTGCGTTTACGTTTTGATTTCTATCATAACTGCAAACTACCTTTATATCCTTGCTTAAACTGCATCTCGCCTAATCAAGTGATTTACGAATCAGCATTTAGACGTAAATCAGTTTCTTCGTACGAACGTCGTATTTCAGTTTGCGCTTATATTCTGGTTTTCATCATAACTGCAAACTGCCTTCATAGATTGACTTTAATGTCATCTCGCTTGATCTTAAGTTAAAGTAATCTTAGAATCGGCTTTCACACCAAAATCGTTTTTATTGTTCGAACGTTTTTTTATCGTTGAAAGATTTCCGCTGCACTAATTCACCCCTCCTCTTAGTGCTCTTGATTCTAACAATATAGACATCATAATATATTCATGCAACAAGCAATATAAAATGATAAAATATCAAATAATAATAATAAGTAAAAAGATTTTTCTTAAGTGACAAAGAACCTATAACTAGCGTACCTTACTATAGAGATTTTTCTCGAGATTTGCTCACGAGCTATTATTCCTCAAGTTGTAACAGCTGAAGTCCCTCATCGTAACTTTATCAGGCTATTATAAGAATTTCTAAAACCCTGCTGCCAGCTGTTTGAACCTTAAGAGGAGGTTCAAGCAATAAGAGAGGAGAGACTCGAAATTGGTAGCAATCTTCAACTTGTTGAGAGCACCAAAATGCTATCCAAAGACAACTCACTCTTTAAGTCTTTTATCCCGTTTTTGTTCCATTGCTTAGTTACTTTGACTTTATAACCAATAGAGAATATTTTATTTTAGTTTTATATTTATTTTCTAGTGATATCTCTTTCCTATGCTAAAATTTCATTCTAAAGGTGGTACTCAGATCTACGGATCAATCGAATCCAAACCCCATACAAATTAAGTGTTAAAAAAAAGAAGTGTCAAATGATATTAATATTATATTTTAACTTTTTGATATATTTTTTGGTTGTTAATATATAAAAATTCTATTTTGATTTTAAGATCTTCTTTCTCCTACCTAACAAAATAAATAGAGCTATATATATAATATAATCTAAAACCCATGTCGAAACACACAAGATCAGACGGAAGCTAAATTTAATGAAAAATTGAATAATTTTTTTAATAAAATTCTATCTAATTCTCTTTGTCAATCATATGATTTAAAACCAATTATCAAAAGGATAGTCATAACCAATATAGATTTAGCTCTAAAGGAAACTACATATACTCCTTTTATTTGATAAACACTTTATCAAATAAGATATTAAATTATCGAATAAATAAATTTGAGATAAGAAGGTGATTGACGCACGATCAAATTAGAGTGTTAAATGATATTATCGATAAATAAATTTGATATAAAAAGTTAATCGATATAGGACCGAATTGGAGTATCGAATGGCGTTAATCTGGTGTTTTGACTTTGTAATATATTCTTCGTTTGTTAATATCTAAAACATCTATTTTCATTTCGAGATATTCTCCCTCCCAACGAAATAAATAAAACTATATATAATATAATCTAAAACACCATGCCAACTTATGAGGAGAGACACAAAAGATAGACAGAAGATAAAATTAATGAAAAATTAAATGAATTTATTTATTTTTAATAGAAATCTATCTAATTCTTTTTGTTGGTCATATGATTTAAAAACGATTATCAAAAGTCTAAGTAATAAGCAATATTGATTTGATAGTTCTAAAAGAAACAACATATGTTTCTTTCATATAAATTTTATTTTTTTTTCTTTTTTAAAAAAAATTGTGAAATGAGGTCACCGAATGAGTGTTTTATAGTGGCACTAAGCAAACAATTTGTCAGATAAGATTTCAAATTATCGGTAAATAAATTTGAGATTAGAAGTTGATCACAAAAGGTTTTAACCTATCTTAGCGGATTTCAAACTTATATTGGTTTGAACTGGTAATTCCAAGTGTTTCTCTACTACTGAATTTGATTGCTTATTTTTCAGAAACAACGGAAATGTTTTCACGTTTTGGTTTTTTGTTTGTTTCAGAAAACACATCCGTTATTATATTTTGGGCCTCATGGACTTCCTATTAGTGCCATACTTCCTTCGCCGGTCTTCGAGTTGGCGTTGCGCGGAGAGCGAAACCCTAGAAGCCGATCTTTACGGTCATGGCGAAGAACCGGAACAACAAAACGAAGAACAAGAGTAACCCGAAGAAGGACGGCGCCGTGCCGATACATGCCTCCACGGAGGCCGTAGGTGATGTTCCTCAACGTCACTGTTCGCGTGATCGTTATTCTTCTTTCAGTTGATTATTGGTTACGCTCCAATTCTGAGATTTGTTTGAACTTACCTCTCTCTCTCTCTCTCTCTCTCTCTCTCTCTCTCTCTCTCTCGATGATTACAGTGATGGATACGTCGGATGGAAACCCGTCAAATCCAGTTCTTGGTGCCATCAATAGGTTAGCTTTGATCACCTGACTTAAAGCAACTTGTTTTCGTGTTGTTTCAATTGATCAAATATGGATGTTCGTATAAGGTATGATCCTATGGTGTGCATCGGGATGAAATTGCGCCAGTTTCATGTTTTTTTTCACTTTTGAACAGTGTATTAGTAAAGCAGCTTAAGATATTATTTATGAATACTACGTAGAGAAGTAAAGGGAGAAAACAAAATGAAAATGGCTCACAGAAATTTAAGTGTATGAGAGGTGTCATTGTTATCTAAGATAAATTTAGTCAACAACTTTAAATGGTTAATTTTTGTTATTCTTTCAGTTTCTATTCGTGGTCATTCTGATTCATTGTTACACACGTTATTTTTTGACACTGTTGAGCATAAACTGGATTTAGTACATCTTTCATTCTATTCAGCTGTAGTTAGCTACTGGCTGAAGTGATATAAGATCTTCAGCAAAAGTGATAGTAATGCAATGCGTAATTAGTAGAACCCACTGAAGAACAGTATTGAGGGAAATGCATGCGTGAGTCAGATTTGAAGACAATCAAGTACGTCATATGGCAAGGCAAAAGGAACAAATGGGAACATTATGTGGAGAAGTCTTAGTCAAGTACCTTGTCTTTTGCTTGACCATGTCGATTTATACTTTTAGTGTCTGTTTCAAATTTTAGGTTTATCTGGCCAATATTGTGTAAAGATATTTACAATGAGAAATTTAAACCAAATGTATAATTTCTCACATATTTAGTTTCTGATTGGTGCATAGAATGTCATATGCATATTTTATTGGTATCAATTTATGATATGGAAAATGGAATCTGATTACTTGGTTTTCTGTTTTCTGTAACCTTCCTTCGAGACATCACAAGTGAAAAAAAATAATCTTGAAGTGTTTTCACATGTTATATGTAGAAACTATGATAGTATAATCCTGTAGGGGGAGGATGGTGTTCAGGATGGGGGAGGAGCTACAACGAACCTGGGAAGAGGGATGAAGGAGAAGGGAGGGGGACGATGGTGTCGGGGAAGGGAGGGAGCTGTGATGAAAGAGGGAAGTAGGAGGAGGGAAGAGAAGGGAGGTGGAGGATGGTGTCGGGGAAGGGGGGAAGCTATGACGAAATGGGGAAGATGGAGGGGAAGAGGGAT